ATATGCCACACCCCTTGATATATCGAAATTGCTTTTCATCTATTATCATCCTTGGATAGTCTGGAGTCGAAGTGGAAGCATTCAAATATAAAAATTTTGTTTCTTCCATTTTTCAACATAAATAAATAAAAAACTAGAGCTTTTTTAAAAAATCGCCACGCATAGATCGACGCAAAATTTAATTATCTCTTATTAAAAAAAAAAAATTTTAAATCGGTTCATATTTGGGCTCTCAAAATTCATTTGTCCACAGCAACCTTTTATGCCCCACTGTGCGCCTTCCCTTATCGAATGTCGTTCGCAGGAAGTCGAAACCATTTTGCCTGTGATCATTTGATAGGCTTGAATACCAAAGATCGGTGTGCACGTGTTAACTTCTACCACGCGGTAGAGCTGTAAAACTATCGATTGTACTATTGATAGTATCGATAGTTTTATTTTTGGAAAAACATCGATTGTTTTCGGACGATAGTCGATAGTTTCGTGCCGGTGCATTGAAATTTTATGCTCTTTACTTAAATAAGTGACGCTGTGAACTTAACTAAGGAAATTATTTAGAATTTCACGTTTAAGATGTAATATTTATACTTTTATATGTGCAATATTTACATTTACATATGTACATATGTATATATTATACACATTTTGTTCGGAGTTGAAGTCTCCGTACATATACAACACGATAGTATACGATACTATCGAAAATATCGATATCGTTACTTTAATGTAGTCTTTAGTGAGTAATCTGCAGACTTTAGTACGAAGCTGAATTTCGAAAGATAGTGAGTTGGTGTCTTTCTATATTAAGGTAACGATATCTACATATCGCTTATTTACTTCAATAGTGTCATAACTGAAAACAGCTAAACTCGAGAAAAACGGCTACATATAAAGTTTTAAATTTACATATACGTAGTATGTACTACCAAAGTAAAAACTAATGCATATTGTTATAGTGAGATACTGGTAATCGGATCAGCTGGGAAATTTTTACAGAACATATGTAGAAGAACAGGTAACGGTAATTTCTACATACTCAACACAAAATTAAGTTTTTTTTTTTTGGATTATGACAGTATTGAAGTAGTGGTTCACTCCCTATGTGACCTAAGGTCTGATCAGGTACTTTGGTCAATCCACCCATGCAAAAATTTAACCTAACCGAAGTGGAGTTCGAATGGAGCTGGCGTCAGAAATAAACATTCGGTTTACAACAAACAGAAAAAAATTCGAGTCATTTCTTGGGGATGCAGCATTTCTTCCGCTTATCCGTTTGAGACTAAATTCCACAGAGCTAATTCACCCATGGATAGAGTCAAAACTGAAGAAAAGTGCCTCATAAGAGCCAACCTAATGTGCATAACCATTCTCTGTGTAGATATAGATGTATTTAAATTAAATTAATACTACATTAAAGAATTAACAAAATTTTTATACCTAGTGTAGTACATTACTTTCTCCAATATCCTCTACCAATATTTTCTCATAACACTCATAAAATAACAAATTGTTTCCTTTATTGCAGATTCTTGTTTCATTATATTAAACATCCTCCTCGAAGCAATTCCACTCGAATAACGCCCTTGAGTGCTCATATTTCATTTTTTATACTAAATTATTCAACATGTTTAATACCTTGTATGATTATTTGTCGAACATACCCGGCTGGCATGTATTAAGCTTCGGACTAACCGCTTACGTTGCGTACTATCTGATATTGGTAGTTAAGGTAAGTAAATTATATACGTTTGAAATATATATACATATGTATGTAGACGTTGTACACGTCCAGACTAGCGTTGCATATTCCATGTATTCTACGTTCTCACCATTTTGGTCAGTGTTGTATTCGAAAATGCCCCTGATCCGCATTAGGTTTGAGTATTAACTCTAGGACTTAATCCGGATCAACTAGAGTTATTTCCCCCTATACATAATGCCAAATTAACGAAGTGATCCGGTTCAACCCTGCCATCCGTCTTTGCTTTTAGATATTTATAATATAATACATATGTAACTAACAAGGAGTTTACCAAAGTGGTATGTTATTGTATGAAATGTAAAAATATACATGAAATTAGGGATGTCGGGAAAACATCGATGCATGGAAAATATCGATGTTTTGCTTCGATGCATCGAAATTTTCCACTCGATGGATATAGCGGTGGAAAAATAAATAGGGACATGGTATTTTAATAAATTTTTTCTTTTTTTCATAAAAGTATAGCTCATTATCTAACAAAAATCATACTAGAGTTCACTCTTTGATGTGAAACTGTGTGCGTTTGAGTGAAAGTGCGAAAATCGGCAGTTTTTTACAACAAACATATGGCACCGTTATGTCATCGTTTCGTACAACGCAAAAAAAAACGCAAATTTTTGAATTTTGCGTTTTCGCATCAAAGAGTGAACTGTCTTCATATATATTCATATTTAAAACTTTGTGCAAAAATTATAAAAATTCTGCGAAATCGCATCTAAATTTTCTACTTTTTTAACAGATTTTTTAGAATTTTTTTGAGTATGCAGTTTTATGGCCCATTTTAGTAAAATAAAGTGTAAGTTTGAAGTTCCTAAAAAATCGCGTTGATTTTTGATCATTTTTATTCTGAATGTATTACGCACTTTTTTCCATATACAAAAAAATGTTCGAACATACTTTGTATAGAAGAAAATGCGCTAAAAAAATTGTTAAAAATCAAACCGCCATTTCAGAAATTGAAAAGGGTCCAAGAAGTTCCCTTAGAAATATAATTAGCTCAGTTGCAGTAATTAGTTTCACGTTTGTACGATATTGCTAATAACATATTTTGTTGTAAAATATTCTCTGAAATATCCTATGCAATTCGATACATCGAATCTAAGAAATACATCGATGCACATATGTATTTTTGCAACTAACTTCCCTACATGTAAAACATTTACAACATACACTTTTCTTATAAAAAAAAAAAATTAAAGAAGTATGTATTATTACTCACATTTTACAGTAGCGCGCCATGGCGAAGTGAAGCGCTTCCCTCGTTACGGTGATACGGCAGTAACCTCTGTGAGCTTAATTAGTTTTATAATAAAAGTGTACATGTACATATTTGTTTTGGGTTTGATTATCTCGAATCATTTTTCTTGCTAATCATTTTGTATTCTACGAGACTTATGTAACTGCTCTAAGTGCCGCGGCAGTGTGCTTTTTGAACACTCCATGCAAATTAATCGTAGCGGTTTCAACAGAAGCAACATTTTGATATGAAACAAAATGTGTTTGAAAGCTAATGTAATTCCCTTTCACGGGGAAAAAATAGTGTTCATCGAAAAAAAAACATGATAAATCCACCATATTTGTCCCAAAAAATTGTGTATGTTTTATTATATTAATATTTGCTGTATTTTTTTGTAAGCGAGCGACAAAAGAACGCTCAACTCGGGTAAAATTTCCTTTTAGCTACTTAAGCAACCCTGCTGGTAGCTGGCAAGAAACATGTGATTAATTTAACGGGATTTAGACACAAAAAACAATAGAAATTAGTTATTATGCGAGGTATTTGCGTAATATATATACTTATTATACGAAAACAAAAATTTCCCTCTCCACTTTCCCATTAACAATTCACAATAGAGCAGTTTTTTCACTTAACAACACTACTCTTCAGGTCGCGTATTTTTTAACCGACCTGGCTGAACTCGGATAAATAGCCGAGTTTGTGTTGTTGCTTTGCGTGTATTTCGTCATTTAAGCGAGTGTTCTTTTGTAGTTCGATTGCAAAAGAATGGACCTAATATAGATTTTGAGACGAGAAACACGATTTCACTGTTTATAAAACAAAAAAAAAATGTCAACCCCTCAATTTGAAAAATGCATTTTATATATGTCATTTTTTATGATTTGCATGCAGCGATGCATCCTTCACTCGAACAACAAGACCTTTAATTACTTATTATTTAATCCAGTCTCTGCATAACTGTGTTAAGTTAGCTCCAAATGCGTAGCTTTTTAATTCAACTTTTTGTTCAGGACCCACAAAGGCTCCAAATGATAACATTATGACTCTGACAACAAAATCTTACAAGAAGTATGGGAAAAACGCATTTAAATTTGGTTCAGGAATCCGTGGGAACTTTTCGACTACTTAATATATTCTGTCGTTCATATGTATTTATAAATCGTCGATGTTTTTGCAAAACCGTCGATCTTATGGCACTAAAATTTTGCAGGAGAGCGAAAAATGGTTTTTCTTTGAAGGCATTGCCTTGATAGGCGTTATTTTCTCTAGGTATTATTTTACAATTCCTTTGTTTTAATAACGATCTTACGATTTTTATGCATAAATCTCGATGCCTGGAGTTCGACGAAATGCTTTGACTCTAATGTGTTCTTTGTTTTAAATTTCCACAGCGTCCCACATTCGTATGCGCTGATGGTCCGCTGAAAAATTTTCTTCTGCAAGAAATACCCACATTGAATACGAAATTTTGGCCTACATTTTGGTGCTTAGACAGTCGTGCTCAAACTGTGTTTGCGAGTGTGCTACGTTCCAAAACCATACCTGATATTACTTATAAAAGGTAAACACTATTCTGCACTGATGATGATGATAGCATTTGTACGTAGAGGGCACTGAGAAGGCAACATTTTTTTCGGTAGAAAAGAAAATGCCATAAGTAATATCGTCAAAACGTCAGCGTATTCATATTTTTGACGATGACTATATGTATATTTTCGATGGTCTCCATACAAATAATCTCTTCTAAACTTCTTTCCTTTTCAGAGAAATTTTCACGCTGAAGGATGGTGGTGAAGTCGCCTTGGACTGGATGGATGATAATTGCAATTCGAATGCGCCCTGTATTATTATTTTGCCCGGTTTAACGGGTAATTCTCAAGATGAATATGTTAAGTGTCTGGTTTTTGCGGCCAACAATGTAGGCATACGTGTTGTCGTATTCAATAATCGTGGCCTAGGCGGCGTAGAAATTAAAACGCCGCGTCTCTACAATGCCTGCAATTGCGAGGATTTGGCAGAAGTGGTGCAACATGTGCGAAGTGTTGTGCCTGCTCACTGTAAACTTGGCGCTACCGGTATTTCAATGGGTGGCCTAGTATTGGGTGAGTATAAAAACTTTGTGCTGTATTGTTTTTGCTTTTATTATTCATATATTATATTCAAATTTTTCAAGGCAACTACTTGGCGCGCAATAGTGAAGAAGCACGCGCATATTTGTCGGCCGCTAAAATTATATCAGTGCCTTGGAATGTACATAAAGGTTAGAGGCTTTTGAATATTATAAAAATTTGTCACTTTTTATTTTACTTCCTTTTTTTCACATCCAGCTATCGATAGTATTGAACAGCCTATTTTAAATAATCTTCTTGGACGTGTTTTGGCGCAAAGCATGTACCACACACTAAAAAGCAGCGGACTACATAAGCATCAGGAACTTGATATGAGAAGTATTAAATCGGTAAGCCAAACTGCTATGTATATGTATTATATAATTTTACACTACATTGAATGTATTACATTTATGAACACTTCATATTTTATGCACTGCGTATCCCTTTTATTCAAAAATAGCTAGCATTTAGCGGTTTATTAGTCAAATTTATTTACTATTCTTTCTTTCCTTTACCTTCCAGTGCAGATCAATCAGACAATTTGATACTGAATTTACCATTAAACATTTTGGCTATCCAAGCGTGGAAGATTACTACAATGATGCTACTTTGCAAGACAAATTACACCACATCTCTGTGCCATTACTTTGTTTGAGCGCTGCCGATGATCCATTTCAACCGCTGGACGGTAGTGGCTATGAGCAAATTTTTTGTATACCTATAGTATTTATTAACTTTTTTTAAACAAATTTTCCTCATTCCACAGCTATTCCCATTCAGGCCGCAAGCGAATGTAGTCATGTTGCTATTATTGTAACGGCTCGTGGTGGTCATATTGGTTTCTTGGAAGGTTGCTGGCCCTCGGCGAAAGATCAATATATGAGTCGTGTTTTCGTGGAGTATTTTTCGAAGGCATTATTCGATGAGCATGGTGAATTTCAACGCATCAAAGATGTACTACACCGAAAGTATCTGGAGAAACATTCAGTGTATTGACAATAAAGCCTTACGAATTGTTTAATTTTGAATTTCAACGTGTTAATTAAATGAATAAAATGTTAAACTATATACAAATAGATATAAAGTAAAAAAAAATAAAAAATAAAAACTTTTTTCTAATATCGGTCACCCGCGGCAGGCAATGGAAAACTTCCGAAGGGCATTTCTGCATGGAAAACAGCTTCCCATTAAAATACAATCGCCTTCTTACAGGTCTATTCTGCACGTTACCGAAGATTTTGTAACCGGAAAATTGTATTACCAAAAAATGTTACCAGTTGTTGTCACCGGTACGTTGGTAATGCAGTTAAAATATTCACAAATTCAGCTATGAAGAATTGCCCTGGCATTGCATATTTCACGGGGCAATAATTTGTTACCAGCTTATGAGACGGTAACAAAATTTACCGGCTACAAGAGTACACGGAATGCGAAAAGGGTTTAAAAATTGAGAGGAACTTTATTTACCGGTTACAAACTTTTCATTACCAGCGCAGAATAGGCCTGTTAATGTCAATTATTATTATATGAAAGTATAGCTCTTAACGGAATTTTTTTAACTTTTTAATCATCTTTAGAAAAATTTTGTTGCGCAGTTTTGTAGGCCATACAATTCTTTTACGGTGTTTTTTGCTAACAAAGTATGTCGAACATTTTTTTAAAGGAAATTTTGCAGAATTTTTACATATGCGAATGTGGTTCGAACGTGGGTCCTAGCGAGTGGTAGTACTTATGCCCGTTAAACACTTTGATTTATAATATCAAAAAATCGACAATCAATTAGTTTCCAACGCAAGTTTTTTAATCCTCATCATCCAATCTATCCTCAACGCGTGCCTCTATGCTGCAACAGATCCCCTTGTTTAAATCTACCTGTACTTTCTACAACAACTTTAGTTTAATCTCCTCCTCCAACGTACTGCAGGAGCCTCAATCCCCGGGGAAAGCGAAGTTTCTGGCATAGGGGGGTCAATATGCACATAGTTGCGCAAGTTGAACATTTTAAACTACTCGGATTGTCTCATGTAGGAATCACAGTGATGGGTATCCTAACATATCGATAGAATGCCGAGACTGGGGATCCCTTCTACAAAATACAGCATCTTGCCTCTGAAAATACTACTCTAGCTAAATCAATTCTCCGACATGGTCAACTCTGCAATTATCAATTGAGGACATCGTGTGGTCACACAAACAAACGACACGACGACGCACAGCGCGGCCGAAACCCAAAAGTGCAACCAAAATTCGAAGCATTGAAAAAACGATTCGAAACTTCGTACTAGGCGGTTTTCGGGGTCACTAATTATGAATCCGTTGTCAAAATTCCAAAATTCAAAATGCCGGATCCAATATGGCGTCTGGTAAATTTCGAGCTTTTTAATTAGAAAGATTTTGAGTATGCAGTTTTATAGCCCAATAAATTTTAGTGTCATAAAGTGCAAGTTTGAAGCAGATTACCGTTGATATTTGATATTTTTTTTTTTGTTGAAGGTGTTGCTCATTTTGTTTTGTGTTCGTTTGCTCAAGTAAAGCACGAAAAAATTCACAGCAAGGCACAGTTGGGGACCCATTGTGATACCACATGGATCTAAAACTCCTTAAACCAGTTCATGGTGTCTACGCACCTTAACATGTGCCCGTATTCCAACTTTTACAGTTGCGTCTATGTAGATCATCTAAAAATTCGATGACCAGAAATTTTTGACTTTTCAATAGCGACCTTTTTCAATATAAATTCAATATATCGACACCTGAGATAGGACGTTCATCTACCAAATTCTGAGATAGGTCGTTTTTCAATCAAATTGCGAGATAGGGTGTTCTTCAGCCAATTTCTGAAGTTGTGCGTTTTTGTAGGTATGCATGTATTTATATGCCCTCATGCCCTCATTCATCGATGCGGACAGTTTCACTTGGGCTTTCATAGGACAAAATTATTCCGCCAGGTACGTGCGAAGACATCTCAGCTTATCGAAAGAAGGCATTGCAAGAACTCGGTAATAGGTCGAACTACATACATATATTGCACCGTGAAGTGGTGAAGCTGAAACACCATGCGCCTATAGTCTCCGATGGAATTACGCTACTCCAAACAGAGCCGCGACAGACCCAGATATATACGAATGCAGTCGACGAAACTCGGAAACGGGACGATAAGAGTTTTCAAATTAAATATTTTTTTTTTTAATTTTAAAGTATAATTAGCTAAGATAGATAAACTTATCAGAATAAGCTTGTGCAGTTGGATTTTTTCCAAAGGACCATAAATTATAATATCTTGCCAAAAGTTTACACTAAATATTGAAATATGGGTATCAATTGAAAGAAGAATTCGAAACAAGATTAATAACAACTTTTGTTGTCTATTATCCTTCAATTTTTTCGATGTCCTTGGGAGAAATCCTGCCGCCCTATTAAAAAATTGAAGGATGTAGATTTGATAGAAATATGGGCACATATTGAATTTTTCGCATTTCCAAAGTTTTCATGCATGATTTGGTACACTTAGTTCAAGCTATTAACTTAAATTTCAACTAAAAGTCGGCACGGGTTATCGTTATCCTACGATCATAAAACTTCATAAATTGCTATTTAGGCTAAAAGGCACAAATATATAGAGGGTATGTATGTATATAAAAATTTGCAAACAAATATTTTTCCATATATTCTTGGGACAGTCTAATGTACATATCGTGGATGTTTTTGCAAAACCTCCCATCGACTACATAATTGCAAAACACTCAAATTTTACAGGCGAGCGGTTTTTTTTGAAGGCATTGCCTTGATAGGCTGTATTTTCTATAGCTATTATTTAAGAAATATGTTGCTTTAACATGCCTGGAGTTCGGGATTACCAAATCTCATTTTTGCCACAACAACGATTTAGGCGGTTTTGCAACTGGTCGATGGACGGTTTTGCAAAAACATCGACGATAAATTTAAACACTTCATTCATGCCAATTACCATCTCACCAACAGCCAATTAAGTTAGTTCACGACCTCTGACCGGACATACTAATTAGGCTTTCCCGTCCTTTGCATTTCAGCTTATCCCCATTATGCATTTAAAGTCACAGTAGCAATGAATTTTACCACTACCTTAGTCAACAATTCAAGGATGGAGAATATGCCGGTGCCGTTTTTTTTTGTTCTCTACGTATGGGCTTGCAAATAAGCTACTAATTAAATATGTAAGTATATTCCTTTCCATTCATTCTATTCATTTATGCATTTACTCATTCAGCCGTTTGGGTTATTCTCATTTGCCTTCGCTTTTCCCGCTTACGTCGTATTTGTTTTTCCTGGGACAGTTTTAAAATCACTTCTCCCCCAAACGTAGGGTCACCAAAAATGAATTCAACCAAATTTAAACAAATTATACCGAGTGAATTTTGTGAAAAAGTTGAATAAATATTAGATCAAAATACATACGTATGTACATAAGTAAAGAAAGTAGATATAGTAAATATGTACTGGACAAGGATTAGAATAGGATTAGAGACATGAGTCACTTAATAGTAGTAAGAGTTTTAATTTTTTGTATTGTGTCGTTATTGCAGGGAACTATCGATATGTACTATGTACATTCATACATTATTATGTATGTACATTCATATTTATCGAGTTTAGTACTACATACATATGTATCTGGGCTTATATTCAATACCCTCTATCTGCAATTTCCACAAAAACTAGACTGTGATGTTAGAACCCATCTGGGACTTACCTGTGATCACTGATGTTAATTCTGACTTTGGAATTTAATAGTAAATTCTTCTGCCAAGCGTTATACAAGGCCAGCATTAGTTGCGTTCCAGATGCTTCACGATTTGCAGGTTTTAGAAGATTTGTCCTTCCGTCTGCCGAACGATTGTAGTATCTTCAAAGCAGAGATCTACGCTAAAGAGAAGGCAGCTAGTCTTTTACTGTATAGCACGGTTCCGGACAGGAAAGATACTATCTTCATCCTCGAAAGCAATAGCTTCACTCTCTGTTGGGTCCCCGGACATAGCAATATTGAAGGGAAGGAGTCGGCTGATAAAATGGCCACTTGTGGCTATACAACGACAATTAACCAGGCGGATAACTCTGTAGTGCCACCGTTCGGTCGTTTACTGCATTGCGTTACTAATGACTTGTGGAACAAGCGAAAAGACTGTAAGATCTCAAGAGTATTATTGACGGGGCTTAGTAGGAAACACCTTTCGTCTGCAGAAGCTACCGCGATGAATTTGTGAAAGAATTAATTGTCACTTCATGCCTACACTCGAAGCGTCTGAAGCTCTTCAGCTCACGCTTCTTTAACAGTATGACGGAGATAGCGGAGGTGAAACTCTTGGATTTCGTCCTTTTCATTTGGGATAGGAATCGGATCAGTAGTTTAATGCCATGAAAAACACCTTCATTTGTCTCTGAATAGAAACCCCGGTTAGGGGAATGTGCCTTCTCCTGACACGCACTCAAAGAGGGCACTCCCAATGCACAACTGTGTCCGAGTGAGACTCGCAAGCTCATTTGCCGAGCGTCATTTGAGACGCATATTTCCTGGTATGGTGATCCCATGAAGCAACATTTCTAGATCTTCAGAGTAATACGTAATGTGAGCCGCTGTAGGGCGGGGTAACTTAACACTGAGCTGAGCCAACGAGCTGACTCCAAGCTGTGTTCCGCACGCTCAGACTCACTTCTTAAAAAAAGAAATATGACTTAGTAACTCAATAAATATTCACTACATATTCGGCACTCAAATTAAGAAATGAAAATAAAAAATGAGTTTGAGTCATTGAGTCAACTCGCGAAAATCCAATGAGTTACCCAGCCCTAATATGCCGTTTTCTATTCTTCATAAAACAGTGCTTTATTGCGCTCCAGCCTTTTTAATTGAACCAACGAGTACGTTTTATATAATACAAAAAGTCGAGAAACTTTGCCGAGGTCAAGTCGGCCAAACAATCTAGACAGTATTTGCTGAAGAATTGGTTGCGCGTATTGGCTAGGGAGGGACAATGGCAGAGATAATGCTCTCCACTTCTTCCTCGTCTCTGCAACTGCAACAAAAG